AGTCGAGATGGTAAATTCTTCCATATTGATTTTGGACATTTTCTTGGTAATTTTAAATCAAAATTTGGAGTTAAAAGAGAAAGAACACCATTTAAATTTACTCAACATTTTGCTAATGTTCTTGGAGGTAAAGGGTCTCCACAATTTGTTAAATTTGAAGAAATTTGTATGAATGCTTTTGTCATTATAAGAAAACATGGTCCATTGTTTATTTATTTATTTAGATTAATGCTTGCTACAGGTATTCCTGAATTACAAAGTGCCAAAGATATTGAATATATGAGAAATATGTTCATGTTTGATAAAAATGATGATGAGGCTAAAGAGGCATTTAGACAACTCATTTATAAATGTCTTGATGCTTGGTCTCAAACTGTTAATGATTTGATTCATGACTTCGTACATTATAAATGAGTTAAGTTCACTCCAATAAAAAAATCATTTAGTTTTATTCTTTTTTTTTATTTTATAACTTCAATATTATTATAGTAGATAAAACTAAAGAACATGATATTATTGATATGTTAAATCGTTTTGAAAAGTATAATTGATCAATTGTTTAATTTATCTACAAAATAATTATCCAAAATTTTATATTCTTTTAAATTGTGTAAATTTGACTTTTAAGTTGTAATACAAGTTCATACAAAATAAAAATGATTGTATTAAATAAACTTATTGATTATCTTACCATTATCCTTATCAAAATTGATACTATAACTATATCAAAAAAAAACATTCTTTTTAGTAGTAAAACAGATATTTAAAAGTGTTAATAAATCAAAAGCTAAATCTAAAAATGTTTTCTTTTTATTATAATGTAATTTCGAATTTTAAGGTAAAAATTTTCATCTATAAATATTTTTTTAGGCTGAAACAGTTTGATATTTTTTACAACTTTTTCTTTCAATAACTTCTGGTTATTAGATTAAAATATTTATGCCTATTTTAACTCCTTGAGTTAAAAATAAACAAATTATATAACATGATATTAGGAGAAAAAATTACATTGAAGGAAAAAAAAACTCCTTATTCTAAAAATGAATTTTCATTGAACAATTCTTCTTTAAAAGATAAAAATTCAATAGAATATGAAAATTGGTTCTCAGAAAGAACTATGAAGTTACACTTATGTTAAGTGTAAACAGTTTAGATGCATACACATCAATGCCAAATCTTCCAACTACATTTCCAAAAATAACAAGAAATTCTATGTCATCTCAAATGTCTTTAGCTAAATCAGGTCAATTACTTCATACTAATAAAGCATTTAGAATTCCTTATAGATTAATAGTAAATGGTCATGAAAATAGAAAAAGTGATGACTCTTCTCAAATATTTGCTACACCAAGAAGAAGTTCAACACATACACCAAATGTAGAAGTTACTCAACTTACATTACAATTAAGAAAATTAAATGCACTTCAAAGTAGAATTGATCATAAAGATGTAGATATTAAAATATTGATTTTATTTCAATCAATTATTAGAGGGTATTTAACAAGAAGAGTCTTTGGTATAAAACTTATGACTAAAAGAAAAGCTGCATTAATGGAATTCTTAACTACTGAAGAAAGTTATAGTAATAGAATGAATGAAGTATGTAAAAAGATTTACAAACCATTATTAACTTTAAGTAAAAATAATCGTTTATTGGTTGAAAAAGCATTTTCAGTATATCAAGAAATTAGTGTAAATTCACAAATATTTTGTAATATAATGAATGATGCAATGAAAAATTATACAGTATTTAAGAATGTTTCTTGTCATCTTCTGGAATGTGTTGAATATTTAAGTCCTTATATGACTTATGTTATTGATAGTGAAAATTCAATAAAAGCAGAGAAAGAGTTAGAAAAGTTATCAATTACTACTCAAGTGTTATCTATTGTCAATGAAGGTAAATTACAAAATAGAAGATTAAGTGGATTACTACAAGAACCTTCAATGAGAGTTATGCAATATCCAATGCTTATAAAAGAGGCATTAAAATATACTCATCCAAAACACCCTGATTATTCTACATTAAAAGAAGCATATAAAATATATTATTTCTTTACTACTTTAATTAATTCAAGATGTAAACAAAAAGATTTATTAAATGAATGGGGAAATCTAACTGGTCAACCAGAAATTAATATAAAAGGAAGGTATTGTCTTGGAGTCTTTGATTTAATTCCAAATGGTATTGTAAGAAGAAAGTCATATAAAAAGTTGCTTGTTTGTAATGACATTATATTTATTGTTGTAGATAATTGTAAAAAAAGTTTCATTGACTTAACTGAACCTCAAACATCATTTACTATTGAACAGTCTTTAAAAATTAATAATACAACAACAGTTCAATTAAAATATCCAGACATTCTTGAAATTACTACAAATTCTGAACTTATTTCAAAAAAGTTCATGAAAATAGAAGAACGTGATGAAGCAATGAAACAAATTGAAGCCTCTGTATCTGATAAATTTTTTGATCTAACTAACACTAAACAATGGATAACTCTTTTTACTCGTATAAATAAAAAATTTGGAAATCAATTATAATTTAAATTCTATTATCACTTAAAGTAGTAAATATCCAATTATTTTTATTGAGTCTTATTGAAATTAAATAAAAGTACAACTTGTCAAAAACTTGAGCAATAACAATATATAAAAATAAACATTCTATTTATTGTATAAGATATTAGTTTGAGAATATTTCTCTTACAACTAATTTTAAAAAAAATTAATCAAGTTAAGTAAATAAAGTGAAATATTCAGGAACATTTAAAAATACTTATGACTCATAGAGACAAAATTGAATTACAAAAATGAAAACAAGAAAATTAATTTTAACAAATATTTTTTATTTTCCCTTTTTCTTGGTAAATTTCTCTACTCTTCATTTATCAAATTACAAATTATATTTAAAATGGTTGTTTTAAGTCTAAAACATACTTCATAATATTGCTATTTCTAAACCACCGAATAGTATTAAGTTGGTTTTATCATATAGTGTTGAGTTAGTCTTCAAAAAAGATATAAAATAATATAAATTAAAAAACAAAATTGATATACAATCTCATTTATAACATTAAATTAATAGTTCAATAAAGAATAATAACTTATTTGCTTTACATAACATTCATTTTAATAACATTTTTATGAAAAAAATGTAATTGAATTAAAATACAATTATGACTAGATTTCTTCATATTAAAACCTATTTGTAATATTTTTATGTTATTCTTTGCATAGATATTAAAGAACTAACTAACTTTCTTTATGGAGTCGATCATTATTTTCTTCATTTCCAGTAATTGTTTTCGTTTTTGTCTGTTCATCGTCCCAATCAATAAAATAGTCTTCTGGATGATAATTTCTCATCACAATATCTATATATTCTTGTCCAAAGTAATTATGCATCTTTCGAGAAATTGGACATACTTGTTCTAATGTTGACCATTTAATTTTTTGACCTGTTTGTTTGTGATACAATTTTCCTTGGGCAATAGCCCATGCAACTGCCGTTAATCTATGACTTTCAATATCTTTTCTAATACTTTCATTAATAGACCTGAAAAATCCTTCGAATGCAGGATTAAGGAAATGGAAATGAGAAGAATTATAATACATATAAGCGTTGTGCCAATGTTCTGGAGTGTTAAGAGAGCCATCTCTTCCTCTTTGTTGAATAAAATCCATTAGCATTTCTTCAATTTCATGACCAATTCCAAGTCCTGGGTGAATTTGACCAGGGAGGACCATACATCCTTTCTTAGGCTGAATTCTATAGTCTTGGAGTCTCAACCAATCAATGACTGTTAAATCTAAATCATGCCCACCCAATTTTTTTTTCATAAACTTAGTTCCTTCTTCAAAAGCTTCTTTCATGTAGTCTGGAGTTGATATTTTTTTTGCATTAGACACATTAAATTTACTATTTACACGAAGGAACAATTGACAAATTAAATTATGAGAGTCTTTTTTTTCATTAAAAACATACATCTGGAAGATGAGTATAAACGAAACTTTTTTCTTTTATTTCAAAGAAAATCTTAAATAATTTCATTGTTTTTTTTTTCTTAGAGAAAGAAATATTGAAGTTAATAAAACCTTTCAATACAAAAAAGAAAAAGAATAAACAAACTTTATGTACATAATAATCAGATGTGTCAAAATCAAAAATTAAGTCATTGAGATTTTTACTTTGAAGAATTTGTTCAATACTATATCCTGCATTTGATCCATTTTTAACTTTATATTTCATTATTTTATTAATCAACTCATTGTGGTCAAAATAATTTAAGAACTTATTAGAATTCTTGGGAATATTACTAAGACCTAAAATATCTTCATCATCAAAGATAATAATATTATTGTCTATAGAGTCAGCACGTAACATTGTTCCAAATAATAAATTTGATATTTTTTGACATATTTCAGAGAAGAAACTTTGGATTAAAACCCATAAAAAACATCCATCCCCTTTTTGTTTTTCACTGAAAAGGAAATCTTCTTCAGAATTCATAAGTTGCTTGAATATTTTTTAAGTTTTTAGTTTCTTTTTTGTCAATCACTCTATTTTTTCTTTTTTTTTTTGTTAAATTCTAAAAAAAATCTTTTAAAGAAATTAATCAACTAATACGAAAATGAGAATTTTATTATTTCTTTCCAACTTTCTTTGCTGGTTGAGCTTTTGCAGCCTCTTCTCTTGCATTTTTCACAGACTCTGCAACTGCTCTAATTAAAGTAATTCCTAAAAATTGAATTAATACTCTAATTCTCTAAAATGAAAAAATTCATCACCACAAACGATTTTTAAATGATGTAATATTAACTCCATTTTCATCTTTTAATTGAATACGAACTCTTCCCATAACCCATTGTTGTCGTGAATATCTTTGTTTCTATTATTAAGTATCATATTTTTCTAATTAACTAGAGTGAAATGAAAAGACAGATAAAGGTAGAAATACTCTGTCGAAAAGAAAAAATATAAATCCAAACTTCTAGAACAAAATTAACCTTTAATGTTTCACATGCTTTTTTCAGATCAAACACATTTGGTTGTTTAACTGAAACTTCCTTAGAAACTTTTCTTCCTTGAGCTATAGTTAACTCACTATCAATATAAGCTGGATAAATAACAATCCATCTTGAGGTGTCAACTTTTTGTTGTGTTGTCATTTGCTGTAATAAATATAAAGTAATTTTTATTAGTTCAGTAAATTAAAAAAATTGATAAAGAAAAGAGACTTAAAATGAGCTTTGTTCAATCTATTCAAGAGTCAGTATGTAAATTGAAAAATAAAAACAAGATTTATCTATTATCATTCTCCAAAGTATTTAAAAAGAGTTGATAATTATTAAACAAAGAAAAAACAAAATTTCATCATTAAAAAAGTAAAATAAAAATAGTCTCACAAAAATTCAATTAGAAGAACACTAGTAGTAACCAAATTAACTATTTCATTAATTCCATTACTGAAGCAAATTGGACATCTGTTTCATTACGTAATTTGTAAATACCTTCAACAATTGACAACTCAGTAGCTGTGGTATCCATACCAACAAAGCCACACCAATCATTAACAATCATACCAGAACCAAGTAAATCACTTCCACGATTAACTGTTCCAGCAACTAAAGGTACTTGAAGAATTGTACCAATTTCTTCTTGTTCTTGTTGAGTAGTATTTGGTGCAAGCATTGCACCTTTATTAGTGATAACAGAATAAGTGCCAACAAGAGGATTTCCTCCAACAGTATGTCTAAATACTTCAACTCCAAGAACATCAGCAATAATTTCTTCTGTTTCTCGATCAATTTCTGGGTGAACAAGAGCAACATAATCGTTGCATGCAATACAATTTCCTAATGCAGACATTCTTTCTTCAACTCGTTGAACAACAACATCATCTGGTAATGAATTTCTAAGATGTAATAATTCTTGGTCATTACATGTATTTGGCAATAACAATCCTTTTCTATTACCAACAGCTAATCTTCCAATAATTCTCAATCCACCTATGGTTGCTTCTACACAAGGAATTTTTGGTGAGACTTCTTGTTCAATAATTTTGTAACTTGATGAACCTCCTGGAGCAGTAATACAATATTTATTTGTGAGTTTAGTAAATACTCCAATATCAGTACTATTTTCATATTCAGCTCTTAATGCCATTTGATCTTTTTTAACTGAAAACTTTTTAGTCCTTTTTTTCGTTACGACAGATTCCTTTATGAACCCTTCAGGGTTTTTTTCTTTTTTAATTTTACTTTTAATTCATATTTTGAGGCTTGTCTTTGAGTCTTGTCTCCCATTTGTCGAGAAATAGCTTCTCATGAGAAAAAGCATTGACAAGTAATTTATTATTGACGTGAGAAAAAAAAGAAACAACATCATTTAAAAACAAATGATTTAAAATTAATATTTTTTAATTGTAGATTGAGAAGGATTTAAAAGTGAATCTAAATACCACTCTTTACAAACAAACAAAGCAACAAAAACTAAAATAATATTTTGTATGCAATTATGAATAGAAGAAATGAAGAATACATTATTTGAATGATCAAGACACTTTCTGCAATGAGTTGTTTCAAACGAGCAGACTAATTCACTTTTAATATATTGGCATTTTTTAGATAATTTCCCTTCTAATTCAAAACATCCACAATTTGGATTTATAAGGTCCAAACAACAAGTATTTTCTTTTTCTATTTCAAAAATACTTTTATTATCCATTTTAATGAAAATGTCTATTTCATTTTTTCCTAAATTCAATGTAGTTAAAGTCCCAATTAAAGAGAAAACTGATAGAAATACAAAAAATAATCCCCATACCTTTGTTATTGAATATTGATAATTTAAAAGAAGAAGTATTAGTAAAGAAAACACTCCAACAAATAATATTAATAAATCTACTACTAATGATAAGAAAAACGATATTCTTCTATAATAGAATAATGGTTGTTCATTGAAAAAGATTAAAGATTCATAACCATTAATACTTTGTAATATAAGTCCATAAATAATAATGTCAAGAACCTATAATCAATTATTATTTATAAATAAAAAAACATAATAAAATGACAAACAACTACAAATAGTATTTTTATCATCCAATGTTTTATTCCTAAATTGAAAATGTTAACCATTACTTCTTACAATTTGTTTTTTAGTTTTTAGTTTAAAATAATGAGTGGAAATAAAAGTTGATAGTTTAAATCCTTTTCTTTTTTATTGTTAAGAATGTAAAAAGAATAATAACGACTGAATATCTAAAGTAATATATTAAAGTATATAACTTAACATAAGGGGATATGAATAACACCTAAAAACCTAATCTTCTTTTTTCATTTTTTAATTAACTTTATTCAATTAAATGTCATAAATTCAAAAAATGAACTTAAAAATATAAATAATAAATGGATATTGAAGAAGTAGAAGTAGAAACTGTTACTTCTATAGATCAGTATGAATGCCAAAATACTGTTGAAAGAGAAAAGGCATATACAAGATATATTATAAGACATAATTTTTTGACTTATTCATTTAATCCAGAAATACATATTAAATGGTTAACTTTATCTATTCATAAACCCCTTCCATCAGGGTTTATTTCATTAGACTCATCAACTCCATGGATATTATATTGGACTCTTAATCCATTAAGGTTATTTGGATATAATGTAGATAAATATTTGAATGAATACACTGAGGCTTTAAGATTAATAACACTTCCAGATGGTGTAATACGAGGGTCACAACAAAGTATTCCAATTGTTGCAGGTTGTTATTCAGGAATATGTGCAATGATAGATATTGGAACAGTGAATGCTTACCAGTTAATCAATAGACAAAACACATATAATTTTTTGATGTCTAAAAAGTTTCCTGATGGTTCTTTTGAAATGAATTGTGATTCTGGAGATATTGATACAAGGGCTTGTTATTGTGCAATATCTACTGCGTATGTATTAAATATTCTTGATGATAATTTAAAACAAGGGGTTGCTGAATGGTTATTAAAATGTCAAACGTATGAGGGAGGGTTTTCTGGATGTCCAGGAGGTGAAGCACATGGAGGATATTCATACTGTGCTGTTGCTGCACTAGCTTTATTAGGTAGAATAGATGAAATAGATATTAACAAATTATTAAGATGGTTAATCCAAAGACAAAAACCAATTGAAGGGGGGTTTGATGGAAGAATTAACAAATTAGTTGATGCTTGTTATACATTTTGGCAAGCATCTATTTTTGGTATTCTGAAAAAGTATTCTAAAACATTCCAAGCATCTCCTGTTTTCCCAAACGTTGATAAACTTCTTGATTACATTATTTTAGCTTCTCAAAATAAGGACGGTGGATATAGAGATAAACCCTCTAAAAGACCTGATTTGTACCATACTAACTACGCTTTATCTGGAATTTCTTCAATATTACATGCTTCTAATCATCAAATGAAAAATACAATTCGTCCAATTGAACCTGCTATGGGAGTAGACCAATTTTATTTTGATAAAGCTTGTGAGTATTTCCGTTCGCTCTAATTCATTCTTTTTAGTTAAAAGAATCATCTTGTTAAATTCTTTTATTCAATTCAATACATCTCAGATATTCATTATATTTATACTTGATGAATATCTTTTATCTATTTATCATCCCTCTTACTATTTCTATGATGACACTACTTCAAATTAAAAGGAAGAATAAGAAAGAAAATTTTACCAAACCAAATATTGAATAAAGAAAGAATCAA